TATACATTTTCTGTTGTAGACTTCCCGAAAAGAAGAAAATATATATGCATATACATCACAAACTAAATCTGTATACAACAACAAAAACAATCCACAAAACCATACAAACGAAGCTAGGAAGAACCGTTTTTCTTTCCCTCCACTTACCAATTTTTCTACCTGCCTGCTTGCATATCTGCTAATCTATCTCTTAATGTATAGCTATTCGATCTTCCGGAGGAGACAGGAAGCTAGGATCTTCTCACGGCTTGACGGCGAGGTCGAGTTATGAGCCGTTTACGTTTACACTGAATCTTGTCGACCGGAAACTAGTGACCGCTCGTAATTGTTCTAATGAATGGCCAGGTCTTTTGCTCACTGAGGAAGAAATAGTAATAACATTTTTTAAAAATGTGAGTTGTACTTGTTTTGCCATCTGTACTTGGCCTTCATGATTTTCTTCACTTATATTTCTGAATCGGAGATTTGTCTTTCACTTTTCCTTTTATGTATACATAGCTTAAATATCGTTCATTACCTACCTCAACCTCTCGTTCTCTCTCCCATTCTTTCTCATGTTTTATCTACAGTTTATCAGTTTATTTTCTCCTTTTCCCTTTCGTATTCTCTACTCACCATACCAAGTAAGCAAGAGGGCGACGAAGACCTTGTAAGGCCGCCACAGCTCTCACGTTCTGAAGACATTCATTTTAATTCTCGGTCGCGCCTGACTGGCCTTCCACACACACGCACCTGGCCTCCGGTCGTTCCTCGTACGCTATCGTCTCTCGTGGTCATCAGAATCTCATTCAGACAGCAGCAAGAGGAAGTGATAATGAGGATCCCTTAATGATAGCAATGATACTGACGTTAACTGTGAAGCACAACGGTAATTAACACAGTAATATCAACTCCTAAACAGTGGTTGATGTTTCAGAACGTCCGGTACGAAGAAAGGCGGATATCGTTTCAGACTCCATTCCTATATCGCTGGGCTCTTATGTAAAGAAAATGGGACAAATTTAAACGCCATGAAGGAGAGGGAAGGGATACTCCATAAGGGTAGGATGATAAGGCTAGCCAAGGGCAGAAAAATACCTAAAATGAAATACAAGGTAAAAGAATGGGGACGATACCATCTGCTTAGTGATTCACGGTTGATATTGAATTGTTGAGTTTCATTATCCACTTTAAAAAGTGGATAATGAAAAAAATACGAAAGAAAGAAACGACCATACATACACAAGCACAGCAAGCCAAAGACCGCAAGCAAAACGAACGAAAACCGAAGAGAACGAATTATACAAAAGCGAAATATTCCGGTGAAGGGAACGTTTTTTTTTTCTTTCGACACAAAACTCAAAAGAATCAATGAACGACCTTGAACGTCAATTTAGGATCGAGCGGAATGGGAAACAAGCGCCGTTAGGATTCCGTGGCCGATGACCCAGAGGAAAGTGGCCGTGAAAGTGGCCATCGCTGACGTGATTCTGGCCATTAAGTTTTCCTCTGGGAATTTATTTACTTTGCTTCTTTTTCCTGCTTCGAAGCGTACGGGTTTAGTTTTCCTTTTTGTTTTGATCTATATTATACTTGGGAATGTGACCAAGATTTTGGTAATTTTAAAAAGTTTTCAATAAATGTTTGTTGATTTCGTGACATTTATAGGTCTAAGTTTAACTAAGTATGAAAATAGTAAGAGCATAAGAAAATTACCAAGAATATATATATTTTTAATTTTCTTACAACTATATTGTACTTCAGAACATGCAAAATTTCCTGTACCATGTACTACATATCATACATTACATATACTATACGTACTCAAACACTGCGTATACTATACCAAATATTGTTTATCACACATTCCCTTATTCCGATGAACACCATGTACTTCCGATCTGACACCCAAAACTAGTCGTTTCAAAAGTTGACCAAGACGACCACACCCCAACCCTGGATGTGCTACCGACTTCTCAACCACCCACCGACCCCCTTCTTCCCAAGGGCATGCCTGGTATGTGGTAGTTCCGACCAGGCAGACCGGAAATGATAATTGGTGGCCGTTTGCCGGGCGTTGGTCCTGTGACCACATGGGCCTGCTATGTGGTCTGCCAGCGCGATTGACATGTATGTCATCACTCGAGGCACTTCCATCCGTTTCCCATCAGGAGGGCTTTTTATACTTCGTTGTTCCTTCGTTGTACTATTATCCTGTGTTTATTATATACTGTATGCAATGTTACGGAGACATTAACTACCAATCATGAAAAGAAAACAAATATGTATGGTTATCCATATGTATATCCAGGTTTGTTTCTGATTCAAAAATGTAATTTATTATTCAATAATATTATAAGTAAACACAATAAAATGCACTAATGCCATAACAACTTGAAAATAGTTATATGATTAAAAGCATAGTACCATTTCGTAAGGGAACCACAACGAGAGAAGAAAAGTGGGCAATAAAAACAGCGAGAAAGCGAGAGTGGGAGATAGGGACGTCCGCCGGCTGCCCTAGTTGTGTACTGAAACGTCATGGTCAGGTGCTACGGGATGTCCTCCGTTAGGTGTTTACCCCCCGCGTGTGTCTCCAACGTGACTGTGGGCGACACACCTAAATGCTAATAGAAGCTGGCTATGCCTCGCGATGGGGAGATCAAATTAGCATGAAAACTTAATTATCAGCATGTTATTATATTTTAATGATCGACGTGATGTTTTACTATGAGGTTACTTAGTGTGGTGGCAATAATCCGAAATGAAAACGGGTCATCAATCAATCGGCACCGATTTTGAGAACTTGTTCCCAGAAAAGATTAGATTATTATAAGCTCGTTAACAAATAGAAAATCGTTGGTTCCCTAGTTACAATGATTACCGAGTAACTTAAAATGCGACATATACACATTTTTTGCCTCTTTTTCTCTTGATTTTCCGCTTTACAGGGGTAGTGAAATCAACTTTTTGCTATGTCACGCATGGACATTTCAAGAGCAACAATTCACCTTTTCAGTATCCTTCGATTCAAGAAAAAAAAAAAAGCAAAACGTATTTTTTTTCCATTTACTTTTTGAACATTTTTTTTGGGACATTATTTGGTGTTCTAGTTAAGTGAAAGTGGACGTTGCGGTTCAAATGGGGTCGATAATAGTAATATCAATGCCAAAACTGTACGAATAACTTTTATTACTCTTTTGGGCAACATTTCTTCATTAAATAAAGTATTGTAGGCAAAAGAGTGATAAGGGTAGAGAGGGTGAGAGAAGGAAAGAGAGAAAGTGAGGTGAGGAACGAATGGTAGGCAGAAGAGAAGGAAGAAAAAAGGAAGACTGTAAATATTGTTAAATAATGGAATAAAAGCGAATGTAAGACAAATACTCATAACCAATTTAGGGTCGTATCGCCTGTAAACCGAGACCAAGTACAAAAAAGGTTTTAACTCAAACTCACAATGCATTAATCGGGAACCGGAGGCGTAGAGTTTGCATTACGAGAAAGTCCATGATGTACAAAATCTTATCAACGTCTTAATTAAGGCCTTCATGGTGCCCAAGACAAAAGGGAAGGCGTGTCTGTAGCCTCTGTAATGCCAAGATGAAAACGTGTCAGTGGGACAAAAAATCTTGAGGTCTTGAATATATAGCAAAATGTAAGATTTAAGAAAATAGGGATACAACAGAGTTTAACACTATCCAATAGATTATTAAAATGTTAATTGTTTATACCAACATTATGAATTACATAATAACGATGTCCATGAAACTTAACACATGTATATTTTTCTAATAACTGGCAATGATCTATCCATTTATCCCAAAAGGTATTTCACCATTAAGATAAAACATAAGTGCAAAATTACTTATTCGTTTTATCAATGAGAGGAGGATGAGAGGGAGGGAGAGAGGCAGGGATTTTACAGCAGACTCCTTCAATTCTCGCTCGCCTTTCCCTCACAAATAGGTAATATTATATACAGCATGCCCTTTTAGGCAAAATCCTTGTTTCATAGGCTGCATTATATTCCATATAACATGACTTGTATAGAGTAGTGTAGAAACTTATTGGTGAACCATCAGCCTACCGTGGAATACATAAAAATAAAGTATGTTAATCACGAAAACAGGAGTTGTACCGTAGGATTTTAAAAGCTCCTGTTGGGAAAGAATATCCATAATATTTATATCGCCTTGGATATACATTCAACGGCTATGTGAGGCCAAAAAGTGTTTGTCATTTCTTTCTACATCCCTTTCCTTCTCTCCCTCCTCAATCTTTCTCTGAATGTATGCATGTATGTGTGTGAATGTGTGTATGTAAGTGTGGATGTATGTCTGTATGTATGTCTGTATGTATATCTGTCTATCTATCTCTCTATATGAACACACACACAAACACACACATTTATATGAATATATATATAACACACACACACATATATGTGTATGTGTGCGTGCGTGTGTGTACACACAGGTACACACACACACACACGCATATGCATATAAATACGGATATATGCATACATGCGTACATATATAGAAATACACACATGCATATATATATATATATATATATATATATATATATATATAAACACACATACACAGATATACAGAGACAGATTCACAGACATCTGTGTGTATATATCAGTAATAGTATAAATGACAATATGAATCACGATAATATTGATAAAGATAATGTTAATAATATGTATGATACCAGTGTCAGTTATAATCAGAGAAAATAATGGAGGCGCATATTTTATTTAGAAACCTCGCCGGTTCGTAGAATAAGAATTGTTCAAAATATTTTCCTGTTTGGGTAGTTATATAATAAAGCCTTTATTCGCGGTAATGATTCAGTAATGAAAAACATTTTGTATTTGATCATGAAGAAATGGGTAATGTACTCTATATGACAGCGCACTGCCAAGGTTAAAGTCGGTTAGAGGGGGAAAGGGAGTGGCTGCGAAGACACGGGAGTATAAAAGCCGACTGCTCGATGTTCCAAGTACCACATTCGATCTGTCTTCACCATGTTCACTAAGGTGAGAATGTTGTACCATTTTCAATAGTGGAATGATGATAGTTTTTCTTGAAAAAAATGTTGATTGATATGTTAATAGTAATATTTATGTGTGTACTTACTCTATAATCTGTTGTGTTACTAATTTTGTAATTAAAATTGTGTCCAATTTCAGACCGTCGTCGCTCTTGCCCTTGTGGCAGTCACTCTGGCTGTTCCTTCACAGCCTTCCTACGGATATGCTCCTCCTGCAACTTATGATGTAAGAAAAATCATCGATAATAACGTTATACCAGCATATCACAAATACCGAAATTATTTTCACTGACTGTTGTCATGAGTAAACATCCCTCGAGCTGATTTCACCTTTACTTTTCTTATTGTAGGCTCCTGCAAAGTACGACTTTAACTACGCTGTTAAAGACGACTATTCCGGAAACGACTTCGGTCACCAGGAGGCCCGTGACGGTTACGACACACAGGGTTCCTACTACGTCCTGCTTCCTGACGGTCGTCTGCAGAAGGTGGCCTACACTGTCAACGGCGACTCTGGCTACGTGGCTGAGGTCAGCTACGAGGGTGAGGCTCAGTATCCCGAGTACAAGCCTGCTCCTGCCTACAAGCCTACTCCTGCTTACAAGCCCGCTCCTGCTTACAAGCCTGCCCCCGCCTACAAACCTGCCCCTACTTATGCCTAAATGAAACAGAAATGAATATATTTAACATGGATATTTATTAAACGAAAATATCATTACCTTGCATCTGTATTTTCTACCCCCCCCCAAGAAAAAGAAAGAAAGAAAGAAAAAAATGCATATATATCAGCAATGCACAGATTCTAACTGCTCTTTCCAGCAATTGTTTTATCTGATTTACGTTCCACTTCTTAAAATCAGAATTAACCAAAGAAGCGGCAGAAAAAAAGGATATGCTCACATTTGCCGCAAAAAATTGCATATCGAAACGAATGCCTTGAAAAGGGAAAAAGAAAAAAGAAAGAAAAAAAAAAAGTACTGATAGACTAGCTCAGTTATTCGGATAAGTATCAGAATGCAGATATAATTATGAAAATATAATTTACATTTCAACTTTCTCTTGCTATACACAGAAAAAAAACACACAATTAAGCATATTTTTAAAGCTATAGATGATGTTTACTCACGAGCGCAAGTCCACCGATAGAGTGTATCTGGTCTGTGATTTTTCCCTGTCGCTTATAGATGACATAGTATTCGCCCTGCCTGGAGTCAGCAGGGGGCAGCAACATGCAATGTTTTATAGTGGGGAATGTTTGATGGATAAATGTTTATCGATTTCAGCATTATCATCATTGCTATTGTCAAAACTATAAGACTACCCAAATTACCCATGTTCTTTTTCATGCTGAACATACATTTCAGTTATATTTTGGACTTGTCGAAGTAGAGCTGTTCTTTCTCTTCAGATAGGCGATTTCCATAGGCATTACTTCCTTTGATTTTATAAATGAAACAAGATATTACTTATTGTTGAAAAATAGTATAACAGATATCAAGCATATATCAACCATAGTACTTGCAAACATAAGTTTAAACTTTGCATATCATAGGCTCCACATCAATATGAAAAAAATAAGATGTGTCATGAGGAAGGCGACATAAGAAACCACCGAATAATTCTAAATTTGACCATTTACTTCTCAATTACTTGTACTTGACTCTACCTGTCTGCGCGCGCACGCACACACACACACATAAATAAGAAAAAAATAGAAAGGAGAAGAGAAAGAGAGACGTTGATCAAGAAATGGGTACCATAACAACCTAGCCATCTACTTCCCTATCATATAGTAATTTATAGTATTATAGCTATTCTATTATGAATAATATCAATGATACCGACAATAACAGCAAAATATCCAAGATATGTCATCTAACCATCACCACAGAGCTTTCCCAAATTCGTCTTTTCACCTCCCTTCCTTCCCTTCCTGTCCCTTACCCCTAGCCCCCACCAATATTCCTCCCGCTGACCGTATCTTTAAATCGAGACACAACGAGTATTGTGTCATCTATGAGTGACGAGCAAAAGCATTAGCTAAGCAGAAACTAATAGGCATCAAAATTTGCACCTATGACGTTATTTATAAATAAGATAAGAAGAATCACCTGTAATAAAGCTTTGATAATCTTGGAAAGGCTGCACAAAAAATCTTATAAAGTAATGCTAAGTGTTGTATGACGTTAACTATAGACCATCATGATCGGTGGTAGCAATTGAAGAAAGCCGAGATCAAGGTAAACAGTAAACTTCTTTTCATAAAATTTATCGAATCGACAACCACATATGCACAAAATATCAGTACAACCTATGATTTTTTTTCAGATACACTATCTTCTCATACAAGACAGCTCTTATGTGAAGCCTTTGGTAGGCACGTTGCACTCATACACATTTGCAATACTTAAAACATTCAAAAACTGATCATTTGTATTTTTTGTTATAAAGGAGAAAGGGTGAGCGAAGGGGGGGAGGAGAAAGAAGAAAACAAGACTGTAGGTTAAGGATACCTCAAGTGAATATTGGACCGACCATATTCATTCACACTTCAAACTAACGTTAACTGTTTACGTTCGTATAACCAAGGGAAAGGTCGCCTAGAAAAGAGAAGGGAGGGGCGAAGGGGTGTGTCTCTCACAGACACCGAATATAAAAGGTAACTGCTCGGTGTTCACGGCATCTCATTAGATCCTACATCATCATGTTAACTAAGGTGAGAATTTCCTTTTTTACTGCTACTCAGCATATCCGTATATGTGCACGCGCGTGCGCGTGTGTGCATATATTTACACATGTGTGGATACGAGAATTCGGGGAAGCAGGGAGCACAGAACCGATGAACTACAGTATATATACATATATGAATATATATATATATATATATATATACACACGCACACATATGAGTGTGTGTGTGTGTGTTTAAACACCTATATACACAAACATATCCATGAATGCATATTCCAAATATTCCGTTGCTTATATTGTATTAGGTATTATATTTATATTTTGTATTTAATTTCAGACCGTTGTCGCTCTCGCCCTTGTGGCCGTCACTCTGGCTGTTCCTTCACAGCCTTCCTATGAATATGCTCCTCCCGCTACTTATGATGTAAGAAAAACTCATCGATAATAGCGTTATACCAGCATATCACAAATATCGAAATTATTTTTACTGACTATTGTCATGAGTGAACATACCTCGTGCTGATTTCACCTTTTCTTTTCTTATTGTAGACTCCTGCAAAGTACGACTTTAACTACGCTGTTAAAGACGACTATTCAGGAAACGACTTCGGTCACCAGGAGGCCCGTGACGGTTACGACACACAGGGTTCCTACTACGTCCTGCTTCCTGACGGTCGTCTGCAGAAGGTTACCTACACTGTCAACGGCGATTCTGGCTACGTGGCTGAGGTTAGCTACGAGGGTGAGGCTCAGTATCCCGAGTACAAGCCTGCTCCTGCTTACAAGCCTACTCCTGCTCACAAGCCAGCTCATGCATACAAGCCTGCCCCCGCCTACAAACCTGCCCCTACTTATGTCTAAATGAAACAGATGACTATATTTAACATGAATATTTATTAAACGAAAATATCACTATCTTGCATATGCATTTTCTGCTCCCCCAAGATGAAAACAAAAATACTCTCTATTTATCAGCAATGCTCAGATTTTGACTGCTCTTTTCAGAAGTTGCAGTAACTTATTTATATTTCACTTCTTAAAATTATCAGAATTAGACCAAAGAAATGACAGAAAAATGGGTATGCTCATATTTGCCACAAAGGTCTTGAAAAGGGAAAAATAAAAATAAAGAAAAAGTACTCACGGCCTAGGAGGTAGATATAGTTATGAAAATATAATTCACATTTCAACTTTATCTTGCTATACACAGAGAAAACACACAGTTCATACCCCATTAAGCATATTTTCAAAGGTATAGATGATTTTTACTCACGAGCGCAGGTCCACCGTCAGACTGTACCTGGTCTGTGATTTTCCCTGTCGCTTATAGGTGACATAGTATTCGTCTTGCCTGGAGTTTTAGAGTGGGGAATGTTTGCTGGATAAATGTTTATCGATTTCAGCATTATCATCATTGCTATTATCAACACTATAGGACTACCCAAATTTTCATTTAATTTTTCATACTGAACATATATATTTCAGATGTTATGTGTTGGACTCGTCGAAGTAGAACTCGTCTTTCTTTTCAGATAGGCAATTTCCATAGGCATTATTTGCTTTGATTCTATAAATGAACCAAGATATTCCTTAATGTTGAAAAATGGTTTAATAAATATCAGGCATATATCAACCATAGTACATGTAAACATAAGTTTAAAGTTTGCATATCTTAGGCTCCACATCAATATGCAAATAAAGAAAAAAAAGAAAGAAAAAAAGTAAGATGTGTCATAAGGAAGGCGATTACGAAATAAGAAACAGTCAAATAATTCAAAATTTGACTATTTACTTCTCATATACTTGTACCTGACTCTACTTCTCTGTACACACACACACACACACAAACAAGAGAAAGATAGAAAGGAGAAGAGAAAAAAGAGAGACGTTGATCAAACAATGGGCTCCATAACAACCTACAGTCAACTACTTCTCTATCATATAGTAATGTATAGTATTAATAGCTATTCTATTATCATTGATGTCGATGGTACCGACCATAACAACAAAATGCCTAACATTTGTCATCTAACCATCGCCACAGAGCTTTCCCAAACTCGTCTTTTCACCTTCCTTCTTTCCCTTCCTGTCCCTTACCCCTAGCCCCCACCAATATTCCTCCCGTTGGCCGTCTCTTTAAATCTAGACACAACGAGTATTGTGTCATCTATGAGTGACGAGCAAAAGCATTAGCTAGGCAGAACCTAGTTGGTATCAAAATTAGCACCTATGACGTTATTTATAAATAGGTAGAACCCCCTGTAATAAAGCTTCGATAATCTTGGAAAGACTGCACAAAAATTCTTAAAAAGTAATGCCAAGTGTTGTATGACGTACCAATCGAAGGAAGTCGAGATCAAGGTAAACAATAAGATTCTTTTCACCATATTTATCGAATCGACATCAACGCATGCACTTAATAACCTATGATTTTTTTTTTCTAGATTTACTATATTCTCTTACAAGCTCGTTGCACTCATACACATTAGCAATACTTATGCAGAACATAATAATCAAATATTGATAATTTTTTTGTTACAGAGGAGAAAGGGGAACGAAGGGGGGGGGAGAGAAAGAAGAAAACAAAACTCATACTCATACACATTAGCAATACTTATACAGAACATAATCAAATATTGATCATTTATATATTTTTTTCTCTTACAGGGGAGAGAGAGGGAACGAGGGGGGGGGGGAGAAAAAAACATGACTATAGGTTAATCATACCTCAAGTGAATACTGGACCACGTTAAGTGTTTACGTCCGTATAACCGAGGGAAAGGTCGCCTAGAAAAGAGAAGGGAGGGACGGAGGGGCGATGGGGCATGTCTTTCACAGACACCGAGTATAAAAGGTAACAGCTCGGTGTTCACGGCATCACATTAGATCCTACATCATGTTTACTAGGGTGAGAATCATCTTTTTTTCAATGCTACTCATCATAGCTCTATATGTGTGTGTGCCCGCTACTATTTACGAGTATGTGTGTGGATACGAGAAGTCGGGGGAAGTAGAGAGCGCAAAACCGATGAACTACAGTATACATATATGTATTATATTTATATTTTATAATTAATTTCAGACCGTTGCCGCTCTCGCTCTTGTGGCCGTCACTCTGGCTGCTCCTTCACAGCCTTCCTACGGATATGCTCCTCCCGCAACATATGATGTAAAGAAAACTTGCATATATCAGTGTCTATATAAGTATTTCAATAATTAAATCTCTTATTTAATGAAAACTGCATGAGTACTCATAAACATATATTGTTTCTGATATATAATCGACACAAACTAATTAATACTTTTATTTTAGGCTCCTGCCAAGTACGACTTTAACTACGCTGTTAAAGACGACTATTCAGGAAACGACTTCGGTCACCAGGAGGCCCGTGACGGATATGACACTCAGGGTTCCTACTACGTCCTGCTTCCCGACGGTCGTCTGCAGAAGGTGACCTATACTGTCAACGGCGACTCCGGTTATATCACAGAGGTCAGCTACAAGAGTGAGGCCCAGTACCCTGAGTACAAGCCTGCTCCTGCCTACAAGCCTGCCCCTACCTACAAGCCTGCCCCTGCCTACAATCCCGCTCCTACCTATGCCTAAATGAACCAATTATGAATATACGTATAATGAATATTTGTTAAACGTAAACTCCATCGTTATACATTTTTATTATGTAACCTATAAACAGAGATCCAGTAGATATACCTTAACTATTGGTAGAAAAAAAAAGAAACAATGAAAAAAACTAAATTTATTGCATTTTTGCATAATAGGATTTTCTACCATAGTATCAACACGGAAGAGTGCTTTACCATTCATCTTTACTATTCTATAGAATTTGGCTTTATAAAGACAGCTATCTTAATACTTTAGCATTTCCAATAAGAGACTTGCACTGCGTTCCCCCAATTCACCAAGAGAATATTGCAGATTATTGAATAATTACTCGAAAACAATTTTCGTTTATTTTATGAAAGGGATCGTGCGACTGAAAGGCAAATAACAATCTGAAACCACGAGTTCAGTTGTATTCGTAAAATCATTTACGAAAAGTCTACGTAGCTCCGTCTAATGTTCGTAGAAGATACAATTTACATAAGAATACATCCAGCGTTTCTGAGGAAATATTTTTTGAAAAGTTCAGAATACCGACATGGTATAAGACACAGCACTCAGGGTTCCTACTACGTCCTCCTTCCCTATGGTCGTCTGTAGAAGGCGACTCTGGCTACGTGGCTGACGTTAGCCACGAGGGTGAGGCCCAATACCCCAAGTGCAAACCTGCTCCTGCCTACAAGCCTGCTCCAGCCTACAGATCTGCCCCTGCTTATGCCTAACTGAATATGAACATATTTATGATAAATGTTTTTTAAACAAAAAATCGATCGTTATTTATATACATTTTCACACCTAAACTCAAAATACTTTAAGTATAAAGTCACAGTACTGTATAATTTGGCCAAATGCAGTTATCGGAGTCCTATTACATTTCCACTGAGATAAATACATTGCAATTCCTTAATTCATCTTAATAATTTTACAAGAATAATGGATTAACAATGGATGTATTCAAAATGTGTTGCGGGAAGTACATTCCGAAAAAGGAATTGACTGTCTTTCTAGAATACTTTTGAAGTTAACTGATCACATGGTATACTCATGCATTTTATCTAAACCATTTTGTGGAGTAATGCTACATTAGTGACCAGAATCGCTTTTCTCAAAGGCATAAAGCTTTACTGACGTTAAGACGTTCAGGTAATGATAGCTCTCTCGGTACCAACCGTCCGGAAGGGCAGCGCTCCGAACGGGAGGGTCCGAAACTTAAAACAGATTCTGTTATTACAAGAACTACCTACCCTCAGCTTCTCTCCCCCTCCTTATACTAAGGAATTCTCCTTCCACTTTAGTTCATCAAACGTAGCTGAGGACAGCTACGAGGGTGAAGCCCAGTACCCCGAGGACAAGGCTGCTCCTGCCTACAAGCCCGCTCTTGCTTACAAGCCTGCCCCTGCCTGCGAACCTGATCCTACTTATGCCTAAATGAATATAAATATTGAATATTTATTAAACGAGAATTCAGTCATTATCTGTTTGTATTTTCTAACTTAGAACAAGGAAACTTGAAGTATAAGGTCACGATACTATATAGTTTTGCCAACTTCAATTATCGCTGTACTGTACATTCCATTAAGATGAATACATTACAATCCCTTGATTCATCACAATAATTTTACAACAATGGAGTAACAATGCATATACATCTCGGAATAGGAACTGTCTTTCTCAAATAGCTTTGAAGATAACTAAGCACATGATATCCTCATGCATTTTTTCTAAACCAGCTGAGTGTGGAATTGTGTCGTATTTAGTGACCAGCAACGCTTTTCTCAAAGGAATAATTTTGGGTGACTTTAAGAAGGACATCGTTAAGGTAAAGGTAGCTCTCCTGGAAACAAACGTCCGGATGGGCAGCGATCCGAACGGGAGGTTCTGTTATATACAGCATTGATCGATTAAAAGAAAAATCATTCAACATTCACCAGTTCAGCTGCATCCGTAAAACATTTACTTATGAATGAAATAGCTCCTTATAGTATTCATTAAAGATATAATATTCATTGGGATATGAAAAGAACTATAAGATAGAGCACATACCGTACATGCATGTACACACACAACGCACACACATACATATATACTCATATATATAGAGACAAATATGTATCTATGTATGTAGGTATGTGTAATGTACGTAACTTTCTATGTAATTCTAGATAGGAAGACGCACGCACACATACATATTTATATACACACATAGTGTGTGATATATACACAGTGTATATATATATATATATGTATATATATATATGCATATATATATACATATATGTATGTATATATATAATATATATATATAAATATATATAATATGCATATAGATGTAATATACATAAAAATATATACACAAACACAAACATATATATATATATATATATGTATATATATATGTGTGTGTGTGTGTGTGTGTAAGATAGAGAGAGTGTGTATGTACACTCATTACATACATATATGAATATATATATTATATTATATATGTTACATATATAAATGTATGGCTATACTTATTACATGCATACATACATATATCTACATATTCTTTATGCACATAAACACACACATATCTGTATGAACGCATTATTGCATATATATGTATGTATACACATATATATGAATATGTCTGTATATATATACATATATACATGTTATATATTTACACACTCGCACAAGTATAAACAAATATTTTCACATTCGATCTACCTCTTCCATCATGTTTACTAAGGTGAGTGTATATCACGGTTCACAATTATTTTAAAATGGTCTTCGTTATTGTTTTATGTACACTCACATACATATAACCACACACATATACGTATGTGTATAAATATACGCACACAAACGTATACATATTCCCGTTAGTTTGTAAAAGTAAATATGTACATTTATTCAGCCTTTTATATTTAATTTTAGGCCGTCGTCGCTCTCGCCCTTGTGGCCGTCACCTTGGCTGCTCCTTCACATCCTTCCTACGGATATGCTCCTCCTGCAACCTATGACGTAAGGAAAACTTGCATATAGCAATATCTATATAAGTATTTCAGTGATTAAACCATTTTGATTGTCTGCATTCGACGTATACTCATTCTACTTTTCATTAGGGCCCCGCTAAGTACGATTTTAACTACGCCGTTAAAGACGACTATTCCGGAAACGACTTCGGTCACCAGGAGACCAGTGACGGATACGATACTCAGGGATCTTACTACGTCCTTCTTCCCGACGGTCGTCTGCAGAAGGTTGCCTACACTGTCAACGGCGACTCTGGCTACGTAGCCGAGGTCAGCTATGAGGGTGAGGCCCAATACCCCGAATACAAGCCTGCTCCTGCCTACAAGCCAGCCCCTGCCTACAAGCCTGCCCCAGCCTATGCACCCGCTCCTACCTATGCCTAAATGACTATATATATATATATATATATGTATATGTATGTATATATAATGAACATAATTTATCAAATATAAATTCCATCAGTAAATGCTTGTATTCCTCCCAGATGTAATAATTGAAGCATGTAATTATTTCCATAACAAGAAACTAATTGCAATTCACTAATTCATCAAAATGATGTTATAGCAAAAACGGACTACCGAAACATATGATCAAAAGAAGTCGTGGGAGATTACATCACGGAATTGAATATTTCTAAAATACCCATAGCATTGATACTTGGGATACTCGGACATATTCATTTTCCTATAGTACACTTGCATTCATAGACATACAATACACACATTGGTATACTATCTATCCTCCTGCCTATTTTCTTCAAATACACATACACCATCGCTTTTATATAAATGTGTGTATACCTGCGTATATGCAATATTTATCCATTCATTTATGTATATGAATACACATACTTTATCTCGGACTCTCTAAACACACCCACTCTTCTGCATGCATGTATGTATGTGTATATATGTATGCATGCATACATATATATGTATGTATATATATACATTTATATGTATGCGAATATATGTTTATAAATACATATATATGTATGCACATATATGTTTATATATACATAAAAATATTTATGTATGTATACATATGTACCTATGAGACAAACACAAACACAGTGACTTGTACACAAAGATGAAAGGAAAACTGCCACAGTAAGAAATGAAATTGAATTGTAATGTTTCGAACTCTTCATGAGTTCCTCTTCAGACGAATGATATATCATTTCATCCATTTTATTTTTTGGTATATCATTCGTCTGAAGAGGAACTCGTGAAGGACTAGAAACGTTACAATTCAGTTTCATTTCTTACTGTGGCAGTTTTCCTTCCATATGTACCTGTATAAACATATACATAGACATGTATATGTATATATATAGATGCATACATATATACACATATACATGGATACATTTATGTATATGTGAGTGTATATTTCTGTATATCCGTGTTTGTACATATACCCATACAAACACATACATATTTAGTAATTAATAAATGGATGCACACCCTGCATCTATGTGTATATAAACGTATATAGATGTATATATACAAATATATACATACTCACACACACGTATAAACAAATATTTTTCACACACACGCACAAACTTGAATATACGTCTATATATACACATATGTGCATATAGAAATAAACATGCATTCATATGCAGTCATACACATATATATACATGTTTCTATATATATTCATACGCACACACACATACACATATGCATACTGTACATATATATACATATATACTGTGTGTATATATGTGTATATATGCACACACACACGTACACGCACACACATGAACACATACACACGCACACTCGCACACACACACACAAACACATGGAAATATTTGTATATATACATATACACATACATTATATAAATACTTAAATATATGTATGTGTCTGAGAGAGAGTGTGTGTTTGTGTGTGTGTGTGTATATGCATACATACAGATTTTCATATATATATACCAACGATGTATATGTATATATGTAT